GGTATATTATTTACTGTGATTGTGGTCATATTTTAGGTCGTTATTCGTCGCCTTCCTCCATCATTAACTGAAGATCAGCTGAAAGAAGAGTTAGGGGAACTCCCTGAGCATGACTTTTTTTACTTTGTTGGAAGCGATATGAGGTAACTTCATTTTTGTAACTGTCTTACTCTAAGGAAATCCCCAATCAAAAAGAAAATCTTCCTTTTAGAGAAACATTTTAAGGTAAGAGTAGTGTCATGAGAATGTTCTGCTAGCTGGCAAACAGATATAGTTCTAGCTGTCGCTGCTGTTTTTGGAAAAGAAAAGCAATTTAAGGGGGTAACATGTCTTTGTATATAGGGTCCAAGAGTTCTGCCGAAGAGATGTTGTTTAAATAGTCAAACCAAAATTATGATTAATAATATTCACAGATTCAAAAAATTGCACATAACTGTAAATAATTATAACAGTTTACTCACTATCAGTCCTTTCTTCAGCTAAGAGCCTACAGTGAATTCTGGAAATCAATGCGAACTAAAGATTACTTAGTTACCTGCTATGGTGTAGCAGCTAACTGTCTAATCATTAGGTTGCACGTGCAAATTATGCATGTTTTCTAAAAGAAATGTCAAACTGTACATGTATTCTGTGTGACATTTAGTTTTTCATCATTTTCTTCCAAGTAGTGAGTAATAGAACAATTTTTAGATTAGGTTTTTGTAATATACTGAATAATAAAGGTTTCGGTAAGTGTTATCAGATCACACTTACTATTGTAATTGTTACAATTGTTTGCAAAGTAATAGATCACAATATAGCAAGCCTGAGTATCTAAAATGCTAATTTCATTGAAAAAAGCTTCCTGTATTAAATTGTTGGGTTACTATTTTATCACAGCTTTGGTCCTATATCCTTTGCAAGAGCTTACATCAATTTCAAAAACAGAGATGATATCATAAAATTTCGAGACCAGTTTGATGGTTATCGATTTGTGAACAGCAAAGGTATCTTCAGTTCATTCTTGTTCATTTGTTAACTCAGTTGATAATACTCTAAACCTGGCATACGTCCACTTGGATTATTTGCCCAGCTCATTATTAATTACTTTAAGTTGTCCCAGTAAATTGCTGCCCATGTACATCGATCTTCTTGTAAGAAAACCATGTTAATGTGGCCACCTCATTAATGAAGCGAATGACCACATTCTGAAATCCTAAATAATTTAAAAGTATCTATTTCTTTATAAATATCAACCAACCTATGCAACTGATATTAATATTATAAAGGAAATAAAGGGAGATGTAAAGAATCAACCATAAGAGGACACAGAAAAAATCTGAGCCCCAGATGGGATTAATATATGCAAATCAGCTGAACACACCAAAACAATATAGGAAACTGCATTGCTTCAAATCCCATTCCAAATTTTCTGAAGCCTTTCACATGGAATTATGCAAACCATTTGATTTTCCAACCAAAATTTCTGGTTTTTCCATGTAAATGGTAAGTCCCCCTGTAGTTATAAATGTCTAGCACTTACGGATTGTTGAATCAGACATGATCACCATGACATATGTGTTGGGCGTAAAGACATCAATGAATGCTCCAAAGCTTGAATTCCGCACCTCCATGCTTTGAAAATGAGCATGCAGTTTGCTGGAAAAGACAGTTATGCACAGTTACAGCCAAGTAAAACTTGAAAGTAAAGAACAAGTCGAGTGAATCACCTGACTTCAATGAAAATTTGTGTATCACAGAACCTTGTGGAGTTTGGATGAGGATAGCCAGTAGAATGTAACGGATGGCAGGGCAGGAGAAATAGAAATAAAGTAAATTGAGTAAATAGACTAACAAATTATTATGTAAACAATCTCCTTTTGGTTGGAGTGCAATGAAAGTTTGAAACCCATCCCCTGGCTTTAGACAGGAAGGAATAGGATCTGGTATCCAGAGCTGTCATTAATGGCCCTGACACGTAACACCTATGTAACACCTGTTATGACTGAGCTCACTTGATGTTACATGTGATCAAAGTGGAAAGCTTAAGGTGGCACTATAAATTTTTGTGAGATGTTATGGGAGAATCTACATTGTTATGGCTGCTTCAAAACTTAATGACAGTCCTGATATCTAACATAAGTATTAGGATTCCTGATGACAGGGTGTTTCCACATAATGTTATAATGATAACAATGTCAACATAAGCCCCCAAAAAGTTCCAACTGCCAAAAATACCTTGCTGCTGTAACATAATTTTCATTTTACAACAGTTCTGCTCAGCTTCATATACATTTAATGTATCTGCAAACTGTTCGACTATTTCCAATATAAACTGCATTAACAACAAACAACTTATTTTCTCCTTGGTTTTTAAATGACTGACATTCATTTACCTGCAACTGAGTTTGAATTGCTTGATGATATTGCTTATTTTTTCAAATCTGTGTACATCTTTGTGGGATTTGCGCTGACAGTAAGAGATGACCTGGAAATGAGAAACAGAATAATATAAAGTGATGAGCAAGTCAGACTTCCTTTTGTTACAATACTTTCACATAATACAATACACCTGAAGGACAATAACCTAAATTACAAAACAAGAAAGAAGATAAGGCTTGGAATACAGCCACTTACGCTAATAACATTAAGAAAAATAAAAAGACAAACTAGATGAATAAAATGAACAGCAAAGAAAAGAAAAAAGAAAAATACAGTTGAACCTCTCGGTACGGACACCTCTCTTATACAGACACCCTTTCTATTACGGACAGTTTCCAAAGTCCCGACAAAGTTCTCATATATTTTCTTAAACAAAACTTCTATAATACAGACTCTCTCTTAATACGGACAACAGACACTCGGCCCCAGAGAGTAAATTCATATTATACTTGACCTCTTTATTACAGACACTGCAGTGATCAGGCGAATCCCGAATCCCGATCAGGTGAATCTGCAGAGGGTGAATCCCATCTAGTCTGGCTGATGAGCTATGCAAGGTGATATAAAGCCCAGTCGGTTTATACCAAACAAAGATTTGCGAAAGGTGTACAGAGAAACATAACCAACTTTTTGAAGGCTTAAATAACTTCAGATAGCATAAAGATATTTTTTACTACATTTTGTACTCTAGTTACCGTTTGCTGCACTTGCAAAATGGTGAAAGACGCTTTTAGAATTGTCCTTTATGTTACAACTTTTTACACACAGCAAATTACGCTTTCGCTCATTTTGTTTTAAAACAGTAATTTGTCTGTTCCTGAGATGCACAATGTTTTATGCTACTGAAAGACACTGTCTTTGTACTGTAAATTAATAACCTTAAATGCAGTTTAAAGGCGAGTGTTAGCCTTGTTTTAGCTACTGAACACTTAAAACTGTAAGTGGAGTCATAAAAGTTACATCATCAAAGCGACATGGACACTGACACAGACTCCTCTCTAACACCGACACTTCACTCTGTCCCTTCAGTGTCCGTATTAGAGAGGTTCGACTCAAGGCTCTGCTCTAAGGAAAATTGAAGGGTGCCCAGTGCTCTGAACCTGTAAAATGTAGGGTGCCCAGCATATGATTTGTACAAAAAATCTGAGATTTTCTAGTCAGCCAGGAGCAAAAACTGGGCGCCAAGGGGCCACCAGGCTCTGCTAGAGCAAAGCCCTGTTCGACTGTAATAACAAAAATAAAAAGTCAGACTTAAACAAGTTTAGTCACAGCTCTGTGCAAACAAAGTCTTCAGTCCCATCGAAATCATTTAAGAGTGCCAAGAATTGTGTAGAGGATCTGTGCGAGTGAGTACTGTCACAGTTGCTGACTATTAGCAGACAGTGATTGTTGTGTCCCTTGCCTCAAATTTTACAGGCGGATGTAAATACTTTTGTAACTGTTACTTTTCAGCCCTCCTGTAAGGGTTCTCTGTTGAGTTTTCTGGATTTTATTTCTCTCATTAAAAATTCCAGTTTGAACAGGAATTTCCAATTCTGAATTGCCCAGAATTAGCACAATTTTTCAGGTAGCCTGCCATTACCTTAACAGACAAGCATTGCTCTCCGGTTGTTTTGAGTGGGGGTGGGGGGGAGCGTTCACTTGTGTTTAATTATAATTTGCTTGAACATCAAAAAAAAGTACTTACAAGAAATGTGGCCCTCTCAAACAGCAGAACCTCATCAGCATCAATAATGGACGCAAAGTTCTCAAGGTTCTGCTCCAGCTGTGTCACATTAGGAATGAGTTGATACACAATAGATGACCAAGCTTTGTAGAGTGTTTCATCCCAGATTGAAGTGCGAAAGCAGGTGCAATCTATGGGCTTAGAGAGTCTCTTCAGGTCATCTTCTCGCTCCCTGAAAATCTGTTGAAATAGAGCCAGATACAAAAAAAATAATGCAGCTTGGCACACACGTTCATAGAAAATGAAGTATTTGTTACAGGTTAAATTCAATTTCAGGTTAAATTTTTTTAACCTACTGTAGGTTGATTCTCAATTTTGTTTGACTTCTAGCCCTAATTTTTCATGAGTTAGGACTAGGAAACAAAGGAAATAGAGACTCAACCTATATAAGTTAAAATTAACCTAAAATCAAATTTGACCCATAACATATACATACACTGCTCTTCTTATATAGATGCCACATCAGCTTTAACCCTTTAAGCCCCAATATCCACATACAAATTCTCCAGACTTATCTCCATACATATTCTTTAAAAATTAGTTGAGAGAATTTGATAAAAGATCAAAGATTGATCTCTTTGTAATCAATTTGTTGATTCTCATAGACTTTGCTCTTGACAATCTATGGATATCGTTAGGAGAAAATTGATGTTGGTCACAAGGGTTAATATCAGGCCACATGCACTAAACATGTATATGCCAATGGTTTATTATAATTATTATTATTTTAAATTTTACTTAAAGTCTGTTCATTCCTCAGACAGACAAGTTTTCTTTGCAAAAGTCACAACCTATAATACCCGTGGAACTAACGGAGAAAAAAGAAAAAGTATCTCACCAAGAGAGAGACTAGGAGAACCTGGTTTAGGTAGAACACATAATCTGTTTTATAGAAACGTAGTCCACTTAAAACTTCCTAACGAAGATTCGTTCAGACTATTATTACGTACACCTTCTCCAACTCGCGACTCTCCACATCAAACACATAGATTAGCACTTCAACATTTCTGAAAATGTTGTCTCTCTGGCTTGTAAAATAGTTTTCCATGAATGCCTCTTGCCTGAAAAAATAAGGGAGAAATAATCTTACTAACTAATCTCACCATTAAACATGTTCATCCACTCGTCACACATTAATATCATAATAACTGCAGTGTGCAAGAAAGTCCTGTCCAATAGCCTCAGACGAGTTGATTTTGTAATGCATCTTGTGAATTCTGTTCTTAACTTGCATGACAGGCAGCTAAAGTTTTTTAGGGAGAAATTAAATTACAGAAGTACTTTAAGACAAATAATTTGTCTTGCAGTAGTTCTGTAATTTGAATTGAAACAATAATTGTAATTATTACTGTCTAAATTCCTAATAAATTCATGTGGATAAAGCTGTTTTTCAAGCTGATCTGACAAAGTGGAAATAATAATATATTATTAGTTACTATTACAATGAGCTAATAGAGCAAGCAATTTGTCAACTAATGTAATCAATTAACAAATAATAACAATTTATTTTAAAACTGTGAATTTATTTTAAATTAATGATTTAAAGTACAGTTGACTCCTGTTAATTTGAACCAACAACGAGAATAGAAAAAAGTTCAAGTTCGAAGGGAAATGAAAATTGCTTTGACTTAGTGGAAGGTTCGAGTTACCAGGAGTCGACTATACTCATGGAAAATCCTTTTGGGCTAGTATATGCCAGCCACAGCTTCCCAAAGGGCAAGCTGTAAAACTGACTTTCTTAGTACCCTACACCTGTAATAATTTATTACAGTGGTATTAGGATCCCACACAGTTCAGAAAGAGAAAGAAGATTTCATTGTCGCTTGTTTACTTCCTCCAAAGGATATGAAATTAAGCATTTTCATGTCCCA